TGTTATTTTGTTTTTCCCATTCTAAAAATTCTTTACATCTTTTCTTCCAATTATTACGTAAGATATCTTTCCATGTCACGAAGATATCCATAATCATTTGTTTACCTATTTCTGCTGAATTTACTTTGTTTTGGATTATTCTGTACAAAGATTTGGGAATTAGTTCTCTTAAAAGATCATTGAATTCAAATCTGTCGTGCAGTTGCGTATTAAGGGTTTGTCTATTATGATTAATTTTTAAAAATATCCTCATGTTATTTTTATCATGAGCTCTTCCACCCCCTTGTTTCCTTTTTCTTTCACATATATTTCCTTTACTGTTGCTCGGAATGCAATTTTAAGTTTTTTTCCTTTTTCTGAACATAAAAAAACGTGTGTGTTAGTCTCTTTATATTTATTACAGAATGGACATTCTGGTTTTGTGTAGACCTCTGGTTTTCTTGTATGTAAGGTTGCCATTGTTGGTAATTCTTCATTTAATAATTTCAATGAAAAAGATCTCAGGATACTTTCTTTTGTATTTGTTTTTGTTGATGTGATTTTTGAACCGTGCCATGATTGTATTGACCATTTCCAATTTGTTTCTTCTATGATTTTTTTGTTTAACCATTTATTAATTCGGTGCTGGGTGAACCATGTTGTTAGTGATTCTATTTCATCTTTCTTTTTTACAAATGATTTTATATCTGTATCGATATTTATTCCTTTCCAATTAAAATAACATTGTTGATCTCGAATGTAATTTGGGTTTATATTAAATATCGATCCCGAATTAACTCCCGCACCTGCCAATTTATCTGCCTGTTCATTATATGTATCACCTGTATGAGCTTCTACTTTAATTAGTATGAGATCTAGTTTTTTTGTATATGTTAATTCTTTTATAGTTTGTAGAATCAGTGGATTTTTATAATTACTCCAATGTTTTCCTTTTCTTTCTTCCATGTACCCCTTTATAGTGTCAATTGAGGATTTACTATCTGTGAAAATTTTGATTTCTGTATTATTTGGTATAATCCATAATACTGAAAGTATTCCCCACAGTTCCGTCCGGGTCGAGGATGGAGGACCCTCTATCTTTCCCTTCCATGTATATCATTTTAAGTTTGTGTCATTAGTCATGTACACTACCCCAAATCCCATCTTTTGTTGATTGTTTTGTTGAGTATTGTTATTTTCAGGTTTATTTGTATTTTTTAGTGAGCCATCTGTGTAAGTAATTATTTTTTTGTGCCGCATGAGGTTGGCTGTAATACGTTCCAAATATTCTAATGTCTGTGGATCAGTGGTTATGATATTTTTCAAGAAAGTTGAGTCATCTATATTGTTTCTAATACTTTTATATTTTATTCTTGTAGGGATATTATTATGGTATATGTTAAGTGAATTGGAGAAAATAACCATTCTCATTTTTTGTCTGTTATCGCTTTGATTACCAATTGAGAATTTTGAGTTTCTAATTGGAAGTTAACTCGTTTCAGTAATATTGGCTGTAATTAAGCAATAAGCGATATCTGTATTATTTGTATTTGATATTGTTTCTTTTAATGAACATCCACTACACGCCACCAATGGAGATTGTAATGTTCCCTGCGATTCTTCTTGTATATAGTGTTGCATAACGATTTTCTGATCTTTTATTTTAGGTTCCCATGTGATCTTCACAATAATTAGACCTGAAGAGTGTTTAATCGTAACTAACGTACCCTTTAGTTTGTTTCCTGTTCTGATTATTGATAATCTATTGATTGAATTGTTTGTAATTTTTTTCCTTATATAATTTAAATTTTCTTCTATTTTCTTCTTTAATTCTGGATACCAGGTAACGTTTCTGCGCGGTATCTCATATTGGTGAATTTTTTAAGTTCTAGAATTTTACTTAAATCTGCATTTAGTAGTTGTTCAATATATAAGATTCCATACTTCCTAAAACTATCTCTATGCTTATGGTACTAGATTTCTGATTCCATAAAGGATTCTATGTCAATAATTCCATTCCCGAGTTTAATTGGAAAGTCAATTTTACCATTCATACATATTTCAATGTCATTTTTTGCTAAGAGTTTTAATATTTCTCCAGTCAAATTGCGGTTACGTGCTTTATATTTATTTATTGTTTCAGCATTCCAAATACTCTTTATTGTCCACATATAGTCCTGTAATTTTTGTAACCTCACTTTTGTAGTCCATCCACATAGATCTACTTTATTGATTCTATTTATTAATTCTGTCGAATGTAATTGTAATTGTCTTTTATGTAGGCAAAAAAGCTTATATCCGATTGTAGCGTATAGAACACTATTAGGTAGTTTAGATACGTATCCACAAGATCTTCTAAATACCATTCGTATTCTGGCGTTGATTTTTTCTAGCTCTTTTTCTGGATATACATAGTCCATTAGGAGGTATTCTATCTGCGGAAATAATACATGGTTTATTACGTATCAGCTTTGCTTGTCAGTTAGCTGTTTTCAGATCATAGTCGCCGTAGTTCTAGACACTTTATCCTTAATGAGTTTTTTCTAGTATGTTTTCTTTCCATTTTCTTGTAACCAAATACCTAGATATCTGACTGCTTCCGAAGGTTTAGCTGGTATTATCGTATCGTTGATAAAATTAACTCCATTTATTTTATCTTCTTTACTACTATTGATTATGATCAATTCTGATTTTGACGCATTGACCTTGATCTTATTGAGTGTGAAAAATTCTTCAACAATTTTTAGTATTTCCATCATATTTGATTTATTATTG